CTCGTTAACGCCGGGGCCCTGCCCCACCTGCGGCCCCAAAGCGCTGGGACTCCCCGGAGCCGGCACGTTGTCAAACTTCAGCGTCTCCAGCTGCGCGACGACCTCCATCTCTCCCACTGCAACCCGCGTGCCTAACGGCCGCGCTTCTCGCCCCTTCCAAACGCAACTTCCGGTTTCCTCTACAAACACACACACACACGTGCGCGCGGTAGAAGCGGTGAAACGAAACGACTCTCCCGGAAGGAATGGCGGCGCGTGCGCATTCAGCCCGCGGGCGCCAGCGTCTTCTCGCCCCGCCTTATTCGCTATGCGCGCATGCGCAAAGAATCAACCCCCAGCGAGTGTCGGGGAAGCAGCTCCTTAAGGATGCCTCTTCCCCCTCCCTTTCGGCACTTTTGCCAGTCGCAGGGGCGGAGCCACCGCGCCTGTCAATCAGGAGGCGGGTCCAGCATTCAGCCTGGTCTCCCCAGTCCCCGTCTGAGAGTGTCTGCCTGGACACCCCCCATTCCCTGCCAATGGGCCAGGGGTGCTGCTGTGTGACCGCGCGCAAAGCCCCCGTCGCGCATGGTTCCGTGCCCGCCCCTCTCAGCTCCAAAGCAGGGTCTCGGCTCACGGGCAGTGGCAGGCCTGCCTGGCCATTGGCCCTGTGCCCTTTGCTGCCCACATCCAGAGCTGCAGGTGCCGAGCCCAGCCGGGTGAGTGAGACTCTCCTCACCCCTGCTGGGCTGCTCGCATCATGGGACACAGAGGAGAAGGAGGGTGAGGCATCTTAGGCTATGTCTAGCCTGCCGCTTTTAATCGGAAAAAGATACGCAAATTGTGCCCCACATACCTTTTTCTGATTGTTTTGTCGGAAGAGGCTTTTCCGAAATTTGGGCTGTCTACATTGGGACAAACGAAGGAAAAACCTCTTTCAGAAGAGCCCTTCTTCCTAATACGAGGAAGGCAGGACTCCGAAAGAGCGTGTCTCCTCTCCCACAAAAAAATGTCGGAAGAGTAGACGCATTCCCTGTATGCGGCAGAGATTTTCTGAGGTACCTCTGGTATCCCAGAAAAACTCCATAGTCTAGACATAGCCTTAGAGAAGGGCCCAAAGGGAGAGGAGCATGTTATTCTGCATCGCCAGCCTGTGGGGAGGTCTCTCCAGTGAAGGACTTTGAGCAGTGGCAGGAACCAAACATTGACCAGTGCTGTCAGTTTTAAAAAGACCCACTCCCTCTCAGATGATATCCTCTTTGCTCCTGTACCACATGCCTCTGGGACCCCACACTCCTCCAAGAGCAAGAAATGGCTGAACATCCATGAGTTTACATGAGTATTGTGTCCAGTTCTGGGCACCACATTTCAAGAAAGATGTGGAGAAATTGGAAAAGGTCCAGAGAAGAGCAACAAGAATGATTAAAGGTCTAGAGAACATGACCCATGAAGGAAGACTGAAAGAATTGGGCTAGTTTAGTTTGGAAAGGAGAAGACGAAAGGGGACATGATAGTGGTCGTCAGGTTTCTAAAAGGGTGTCACGAGGAGGAAGACAAATTGTTCTCATTAGCCTCTGAGGATAGGACAAGAAACAATGGGCTTGAACTGCAGCAAGGGGTCTTTATGTTGGACATTAGGAAACACTTTCTAACTGTCAGTGTGGTTAAACACTGGAATAAATTGCCTAGGGAGGTTGTAGAATCTCCATCTCTGGAGATATTTAAGAGCAGGTTAGATAGACATCTATCAGGGATGGTATACTCTAGGGCTATGACTACACTGGCATGACTTTCCGGAAATGCTTTTAACGGAAAAGTTTTCTGTTAAAAGCATTTTCGGAAAAGCAAATCTAGATTGGCAGGACGCTTTTCCGCAAAAGCACTTTTTGCAGAAAAGCGTCCGTGGCCAATCTAGACGTGCTTTTCCGCAAAAAAGCCCCGATCACCATTTTCGTGATCGGGGCTTTTTTGCGGAAAACAGTACTGTGCTGTTTACACTGGCCCTCTTGCGCAAAAGTCTTCTGGAAAAAGACTTTTGCCCGAGCGGGAGCAGCATAGTTTTTACGCAAAAGCACTGACTGTCAGCCAACGGTCAGGGCAGGGTGTGTTCCTATACCTGTCCCTTATGACCGGCTGAAGTTCTTTTAAATTGTGCTTGGTTCTGTTACAGCAACTGAAG